GCACATCCACCATTCACAAGCGGCTTTTAAATAAGCTCCCCACCAATCCGAATCCAGGTTCAAATTTAAGGGAACCCTTGCTCTGAAGGGTTCGCCTGAACGCAGCATCGGGACACCCTTGCCAGGCCTCTCCCATTCCGTCGGGGCACTTCCTAGTTTGGATAAAGCACTTTCGACGGCTGTTATTCCTTTGGATTGTCACAGAAGAAAGTGGAACTCCTACGATCCTCGTGATACAGATAGGAAAACTGGGGTGCTTAGCGCCAGAGGAGAAACGAAAGCTCAGTTCTCAGGGCTGGAGACCTGGCTGGTTACGCGTTGCGCTGCTATCCACAAAAACCGGGGGTTTGAACCCACTAGCCACCTTTCAAAAGTGTGGTGATGAGGCTGAAGATGTAAAGTTTTGGAAACCCAAAGGGTTTTGGAATCCCAAAGGGTCAGTTCTACTCTGTCGTTGTGAGTGGAAGCTAGCTTGATGGCAGTGAGGGGGGGTTGTTTTGTTTTGTTTGGGGTAGGGGGTGGGGTTGAATTATCCGGAGAGGTGTCTGGTAGCCATATAACCTGCCTCTTCAAACCAGGCCCCTGGTTTATTCTGTTTCCTTGCAGCAAGCACACACAGGCAGGTTCATACCCATATCGAAATGGCCTTGCTGAATTCTCAACTTTGCCAACTGCAGCTTGGAATCCATTTCTGACTGTTTACTCAGCCGGCTGCTCACTAACCCGAGCACTGAGTGCAAGCCAGGTCCCAGGCTTCGCTTCTGATAGCGGGAGTTGGTGTGACCACCCATCCAAGCTGCTAATTTCCCTTAGAGACACGAACACGATTCCTTTCACACTAGTATTGCACAAGCACCGGTCTCACCTCTTTCTCTTTCTTTTATTTCATTGCAAAGACAAAGAAAATAGTGACAGAGGCAGCAAAACAGAAAGGGTCCAAAGTTAGACCCAGAAGTCAGACTTGCCTGGGTTGAAATCAGCAACCTGCCACGACCCGTAATGGCACTCCACAATGGCAGTGAAGATGAGCTAAAACGAACAAGGAGGACCAGTCGGGTTCAGTGGCTTTAAAGAGAAAAATAA